TTCATTTACTTCCTAGTGGATTTCGCATTTACTTTCAGTTAATGGATTTTAAAAATAGTAAAGTTGGAAACAAAACTTTGCCAACGAATCATCATGAAGCAATACTGAAAGTTATCTTAGTTTGCTCAAAACAGAATTCGGAGAGCCAAAAATGCTTGTACGGCAAAAATTGTTTTTTTTTCAAAAAAATATTTTTTGATTTCGAAATATAAGTTGGTTTTTGAATTTCTAAAAAGTAAGCACTGCTTGCATGGAAGGATTGGCTTACATTTTATCAAATAAACATGTGGTAAATATACATTCGATTTTGCTTTTTTTGCTTTTGAGCGTAACTAAAATTCAAACAGTCGCATTGAGCGGATAATTTATCACTGAAACAATTTGTCCTCATGGTTTGCTGCGCATCAGAAGAATCAAGAACTTGGGTAAGCATGGGAAGATCGAAGCAAAGTATCTTGCTATATTTGTATAGCTTGTCTTTCAGCCTTTTAACAAATACTAGAAAATTATGATTGTGGCTTTTTAGGCATTGTACGTATGCAGGTCCATTTCTTGAAAACAGTCCATACTTCTGGAACTTGTATTTCAGCTGAAATTTTGTTAATAAATATTAAGCTCTACGCACTGTGGCTAAATCTTGAAAGCGGACATGCCCGTAACCGTAGTACATTTCAGCTTTTTGGGAAAGCGGCAGAAAGTGGTGCATTCGAAAAAAGCAGCGACAAAATAACGCGAAGCCTTGGGAAACTGATCAAAGACGGTGAAACACCAGAATTTGTTGGGAAAGCAGTTGTTGCTCTGGCAACAGATCCGTACGTGATGAAAAAAACTGGCAGAACATTAATAGCAGCTGATCTGGGGATCGATTATAAGTTTCGGGATATTGACGGACGTCAGCCGGACAGTTTGCGTGGATTTAAAATGCTCCTTGGTCAAGTGGGCCTGGCTAACATCGGCGCTTATTTCCCAGCATGGTTGCGTGTTCCTGGCTGGCTGATGACAGCTATCAAAAGCCGTCTGTAAATAACCAATGTAATTTTTTTACCTTGCTGATTATTCTTGAAAAAACAGAACTGTTTGTTGTTTGTAAACTTCAAACGTGTTTATGCAGAATTGTGCTGTAATCCGGGGAAAGTGCTCGCTTAATTTGATAATTTTTTGAAAAGGATTAAGCCTCCTTCAAATTTTTTGAAGACCCTTGCGGTGCACATAAATCCAGTGAAACTTGTACGCCTTATCAAATCACCTTTTACCTATGTTGTCCTAGAGTTGCCTAACTGCGCTAAATTTGTCCGTTGTAAGATGCCAGCTCCTGCGTATTTCGCAGAAAAGGACTTTTAGTGGATTTTGTCTTTTTTATGCATTTTGAATATTTCGTGAAGGTAGTCTTTTTCACTGAACTGAGATTAGCTTGGAAGGCCTAAATTCGGGTTATTTGCTCCTACTTCTGTGAGCACACAGCCCGATTCCCGTCACTTCCTTACGGTTTTCCGTTCGCATTTCTCTGTTTCTCTTTTTTTTTGTAAAGTTGTAAATCATCTGTATTTACGTTGCTGTGACATTTTCAAAATTTCATAAAATTTAAATTGAGGAGTTGATCCGAGTTTTTGTGCCTCAATTTCACTGTTACTGTGCTTCTTCATCTCTCTTTTTTCCAACTAATAAAGTAATATTGCAGTTCTTGTTTGGCCAGGAATTTTCCACACTCAAACAGATACAGTTTTGTAATGTTACATAGGATTCCAATCGTAATCATTAGGGTGCTGGATGATTCACTTTCCTTTTTCAGCCATGTTGTCCAAAGGAGCAGCTAAATGTGTCATCTGAGGCTCTTTTGAAACTTCCTAGCGTATTACTCATAGAAAATTCAGCATACATATATTACCCGCCAAATCAGTAAACACTATGTATGGAACGAATTTCGTCAAATGTTTTAAAAAGTTCAAATTATATATTTATAAAGTATCTGTATTTTGCCTCCTCTACAGTAGAAATTATCTGGGGGAGTTGCCCTGCCGAGGAGTTGTGCCATCTTGCAGTTGGCAACTGCCGCTCTACTAATGAGCTTGTTTTATGAATCACAGCCGTTTACAAGAACCTTTTTTATCTTATAAGGCCCTAATTTTAAATTGCTCTTCGTTTATGTTTTAATGGATCACCGGTGTGTATCCGGCTCGTCAGACACTCATGTATAGTTACACGCAAAAATCTTCCTTTCAAA